CTCTATCTTCGTAAATAAACATTGAGTAAAGGCTGGAGACATCTTCGAAAGAGACCTATTTAGTGCATGTTACCGAACTTTGCAAAAATAAACTCAAACACGTAGTTTTTCAGTGGTTTTCTGGACAAACGCTTTTCGTTATCTCACAAACCTCTACTACGAGAACCCCAAATCCTAGAACTCTATTAAATTTAATACGAGTGTGATGTCTTCGTAAAACAATTTTGAAACAATTATGATATAGAATTTGGAAGAAAATCCAGCACAAAGTTTGAGGTTTCAAAATTGCCCAGAATCTGTAGTTAAAAATTCTGGTAAGACTTGATTCTTACATTATTCAGAAGAACAAGTTCTTAACCTTAATACACCCTCCCCCCATAATAGAAGACCACCTGGTCTTCTATTTTGTCCCGCAAGTCGAGTTCTAAAGGGTAGTCTTCTATTGCAGGCAAATTTTGTCACCTTCTAGTAGTCCAACAGTAACCCCCACATACTTGAAGTCCATCCTCTATTAGAAGTACATTTTGGCGAAATTTTTTAGAAAATTCCCCTGTTGTAAGAACAAGGGTATAGGACATAACAGACGACCAGTGGTCTTCTATTTGGCTTTCAAGTCATATAACCGGCAGTGGTCTTTTAATAGGGGATAGTCTTCTACTATGGGGGAGAGTTTAATATCATTTTCTTTTCTAAAAACGTGAGAAAGTATATCCCGATCGGGACTAGTCATGCACCGATTACTAACAGATGTTACGATATTCAGCAAAGTCGTTGCGAATCAGTTTTGTAAAAAAGCACTTAGAGCTGCCGAATGTCTCATTTTATAGAAAAATGTTTGCTCTACCAAACTGCAGTGCAAGAAGACGTTTTAGTGTTATCTGTGACAGAAATATAAGCATCCAAAACTAAGCAAAATTGCAGAAAAATAAGCGATTAACGATTTTTTTCTATGATTTTAGTGCGTTTTCGATTTATTATATTTTCTCCACATATAATATTAAAATTTTTCTAGCACTTCGGATTGGTAGAGTAAACATTTTCCTACAAAATGAAACGTTCGGCAGTTCTAAGTGCTTTTTTATATTATATATTATTTGGAACAACTTTGCTGAATGCCCCAATATCGATTATTAATCGGTGCATGCCTAATTGGATTATATTTTGATTCAAAGCGAGATATAAAGCATGCGTCTGTACTGTAAAAGTAGGCTGAACTCAAGCGAGCCAACACCCAATAATATTGTGAAAATCCAATATATTGTATTGGTGCATGCCTAGTCATCACCATATCCATAGGACGTGACTTGTACAGGAAACAAATATGGATTCTTGTACAATTCAACACAGGCTGCAAACCTGGCATAATGACAAACTGGCGGCTCGAGAATAGTGTAATTCTGAGAGGACATGCGTGGCAGCACGCTTACGGTATACTGCTTTCGATGGCCTGTCCCCGATGGGGCATGCAAATATTCTGATGAATTTTCGCGAAAGCTACACTAAAGCGAAAAGATCAAGATGAACCAAAAAAGATTAAGCTGTCATTATTAAAGGACTGATCAAATACACATTTAATTGATAAATAGACAGTTTTGAGAAACAGCAGTTAAGGCTGCACTCAACTATTACAACAAAGTCTGTGTGACGACGCATAAAAGAGTTTGGACTCAAAAACATCCTGATATAGCATGTATTCCTCACAGTACTGGCTTACGAGGGAACCGTCTGAGGTGTCGAACTCCGATCTCGACAGTCTTTTGCGATCGATAGTGTATAGTGTGGTAGTAAAAATCCTAAAAGAAATTGTGCTCTAGACACTCTTTTCAAAAGTTATGTTTTTTTCATTTTGCCTGTACACGGTAAAGGGGTGAATATTGAAAAATTCTTAACTAAGTCCAACCACGGTACGAAGAGCTGACAATTTTTTCTGGGATATTCCTACACGTGTACTATATGCATAGATAAGCTTTAGCCTTCTATATTTTATATGCTGTTAAGTTATTGGGTTTTTCTTATGTAAGGAATACTCGTGTGTTTCTGAAAAGTGATTTTTTGATGTTAGGACTTTGTTAAACATTCCATCGCTTAAATTAAGAAAACCCGATACTTAGCAGCATATAAAATATAGAAGGCTGAAGCTTATCTATGCATATAGTACACACGTAGGATTATTCTAGAAAAAACTTTCAGCTTTTCGTTGGACTTAGTTATGAATTTTTCTATATTCACTCTTTTCCCGTGCATAGGCAAAATAAAAAAAAACATAACTTTTGAAAGAAGCGGCAAGAGCACAATTCCTTTAGGTTTTTACTACTACACTATACATTATCGATTGGCAAAAGATCGTTGAGATCGGAGTTTGACACCTTAGAAAGTCCCTCGTTAGTTTATGATGAGAAAGAGGAGCATCATAAAACGCTTGAGTATTATTGTCTTGTATTGGAGATGAAGACAAAGCTTTACCATTTGGTCATTCTGATATCATTTGTGTGTTGAATGCGATCATGTATGTCTATGAACGGAAAGAAGAGTAACCATTAAACTACTTGAAACAGAAGCTGATAATGGCAGTGTATGTACGAGTTGCTCACCACTCTAACACTGTATTATACGTCATTAAAGTTCTTAGCCGAAATACTTCTTTAATAAATAGATGCTACTTGAAGTACTCTCCAACAGAGCACTTTTACAAAAACGCACACTCACATTGCCCGCAGCCTGATGCGAGTTGCTGACATTTTGAGGAAGAATGGAACGATAGTGCTCTTGACTATTAACATCAAGCTTTGCCCATGGCGATCAATCGTATATCAAGATTTCCTATGGTCTTATAAGATCTTATAAGATCTTATTCCAAGAAACCGTAAGATTTCAAAGGATCTTGTAAGATCTTTTGGCTTCTTATAAGATCTTGTAAGATTTTGTATGATATCTTTGTAAAAGAATCTTATAACATTTTATAAGAAAAATGATCTTACAAGATCTTGTAAGATCATAACATATGAAGCTGTAAGATCTCATAAGATCGTATAAGATATCATATGATCTTGCAAGACGTGACAAGATCTCATAAGATCCCGTAAGAATTCATCAGATATTATAAGATTATGTNCATGGCGATCAATCGTACATCAAGATTTCCTATGGTCTTATAAGATCTTATTCCAAGAAACCGTAAGATTTCAAAGGATCTTGTAAGATCTTGTAAGATTTTGTAAGATCATAACATATGAAGCTGTAAGATCTCATAAGATCGTATAAGATATCATATGATCTTGCAAGACGTGACAAGATCTCATAAGATCCCGTAAGAATTCATCAGATATTATAAGATTATGTGCCTGATCGTGATCTATAAATTTCCTGTAGACCTTCCCGGGTCAAAAATCAGGTCAAGATCTTACAAGATCTGGTAAAATCGTACAAGATCTTATAAAATCTCACGGAAACAGATTCATCTTACAAAAATTATACAAGAATCTTACGAAATCTGATGAAATCTTACTATAAGTACTTACATCAGGAATCAGTTTCTATGTTTCTTACAGCTTCTTAGAAATTCTTATACAAAGCTTACAAAATCAGACGGAATCTTATAAGAATCTTATTAGATCTTATAGTAAGCTCAGCTGATGTGTGAAGACGAAAAAAGAAAACAAAATTTCTAAGTTTTATCATAAGGACTATGTTATATATATACTCAATATCATAGCAAAATTTATGTGATAAGAATGAGTCATCGATACTTGCGAGATCATATAAGATCTTATAACAAGAAATCGTATAGTCTTGCCATAAGAAATAAATATAAGTCACGTCTCTCAATGACGAGTTCTTGTCACGTCTTGTAAGCTGATCATGTAAGATCTTATGGCAGGAAGTTACAAGATTCCGCAGGATCTTACAACATCCTAAGACAAGATCTTGTAAGATCGTGCAGTAAGATCTTGTTACAAGATTTCATAAGAAAACGGCAGATCTTGTATGATCTTGTAAGATGGGTTTCACCTGGGTGGTCATATTCGAAAGATGTGTTCCGATAAAATGGAGTTCTAACTTCGTGTTTTGATCAGATCGGGCTGTTGTATGGAGGTCATGGAATGCTTGAAGATGCTTTATCGAAATCATCTGATATGAATCATTTGATATTGATGTTTTTGTTTTTAACCTTTCTATCCAATATGTGCGTAGTTGCTCTTTTAACGTCTTTATAATAAAATGTTGAGTTCCAAAATGTTGAATGACTTGATCCGAGTAACTTTATATTAGTTTTCTCATCTTGATGAGTTCTAGGATCTTTAACTTTCTTTTCAAGACACGATGCATAAGTGAGCAGTGAACGAAGGCATGGCAAGCACCGTACACAATCTGTCAACTGAAGTTAAGTTGAGCTGTTTGAGTAACTAGAACATAGTTTCGACGAACGCATCGGTTCCACAAGACGATCATGCATGATGGTGAGTTACTGAATACAACATAATTTATCTGTTTCACATTGTTTTAGGACAATTTCGACATTGCATACACTATTATTTATGTTTCGTCTGATATATTTAACCTCAAATACACAGTAGGGCATTATTAAAATTTCGTGTTCTTCCGGATAATCTGATATTGTCTCAACATCCAAAGCCGCACGACGATTTCGAATTATATAAATACAAATAATAGAAAGCTTTCCATCTTGAATATCACCTAATGAAGCAAACTTTTCAGCAATTTCACGATCTTTCGAAGTGGATAGAAATGCTTTGTTCATTAAATAATTTCCAACTGAATATTGGTTTAAATCATCTTGTGTTATACGCATACCACGATAGGCATTACCGATGTAACCGAAAGGATTAAGAGTTGGATGGCAACACATAATTCGAAGAATCCAGTTTCGTCCAACCCAACTATCAATTAACTTATTCTCATTTTCATGTACGGTAGCTAATTCTTTATTTAAAACTTTGTAATAATCGGTTTCCGCTGTATACGCTGTAATCAAATATTTAGCAGTATTTTCTTCTGCTGCTAGAGCGTAGTACCAGTTAATTAAAGCGATATCTTTTAGATTACGTAGATTTTTGTCTAAATAATCTTTATATATATAACTGACAGTTGTACGAATATCTGAATCATCCCATTTATCACTATGGTCATATCGTTGTTTAATTGCTTCTTTTTCAATATTAATACCAATTTTATTCCATTCAATGTTTGTTCCGTTTGTTCCACCCACGAATCTGCTCGAACCATTTTGACGTCGAAATAATTGTTTTATTTCATTTGTTTTAGCTTCCTGATAGGCAGTTAGACGATATTTATTTATTATTGATCTTGACGTAATACCTTTTTCTAACAGTAACTGAACCGTTTTTGTATGACCATAATAGGATGCGGCATGGAGTGCTGTACTGCCGTTTGGTTCAAGACGATTTATTTGTCGAACCGTTAAAGTTTTTAAATATGCTTTCACTTTTTCAATATCATCATTTCGGCAGGATAAATAAAAATCACTAAGAGACGATGATGAATTTGTTGCCATCCCTTACAGTTTTCATTCGAATAATAATAACATCCTTGAAGCACATTTGCATCTGAAGTAGAAAAAGAAATACTCCA